GCAGTAGAGCTAAAATTATGCTTTCCAAATGCTACGTGAACAAGCGTACTCCTGTCGCTCTTGCTTTTGTATTTCATTCCTGTTTCCAGCCTACATCCTGACAGCTGAATTGAGCATACTTTCATATTCTCATCAACATGCTCGACGTACACATAGTTGATATTTGTTTCAGTCACCCTGCAAGTCTGTACAAGCCATTAGTGGTTTGCAAAAACATTTCCACATATCTCCAGAGAAGAATTATTTTAGCTTTCACTGGATTTCAGTGGATTTATACTTTGTAGTGAAGTTCATCACAGGGATGTGAAAAGCAGTACTCAAAGATACCCTTTGCTCATTTTTGTTAGCATGCAGTATCTTGTTTTTCTGCCTCTTCAGGTAAAAGTGGGGTCAGCAGGGAAATCACTTCAGTAAAGAGAATTCAGGGAATGAGAAAAAGGCTTTTCTGAATGAATTCTGTCTCTCTTGTCTTTGTGTTTCTGCAGCATCTTATTTGCGGACATTGAGGGTTTCACCAGTCTGGCATCGCAGTGCACAGCACAGGAGCTGGTGATGACTCTCAATGAACTGTTCGCCCGCTTTGACAAGTTGGCAGCGGTAAGGATGTAATCACTTGCATGTATATGTAAAGAGCTGTGCAAACGTCTTTTGCTAGGAAAACGAGAAATAGCTGCAGCGATTCATTGGAAACTTGTGCAAGCATACATGGAAGTATAATATATATATAATATGTAAGGTCCTACAAAGCTGAACCCACAGTGGGGCTCATTGCCTGATTGTTGGTGAATGCAGCCAAAGTGCTTCGTCTCATCTGATGTGACCTCTTCGTCTGTTTGTGTGTGTTTAGCTCACCCTCACCTCTGACTAAACAGACACTGACCTGCAGGTTTTTATGTGTAAACAACACAGAGGAAAGAGAGCCGTGTAATCTGGGTGATAGCCTCAAACAGCTCCTGCCTGTGTTGTTGCAAAACGTGAAGAATAAAAATGTAAAATATAGCAGGACAGATAAATGCATCAACGCACACTTCCTATAGATATGATAAAAGAAAAAAGTTTCTTTCATTTTGAGGACAGTTTAAATGTATCCAAATTCCAAATCTGAAAACAGTAAAGAACTTAGAAAAGCACTGATATTAATTAACGGCTAATTTCTTCTCTGCAATCAGACAGGACCTTCTGTTAATTTCGCTGTAAGGAGACAAGGAGCGATGAGAGGATATGTAGTTTTCATCTAAGGATGTCTCATACAAATGCTACACTTTGACATAAAAATAACTGAGGCCCTTGAAGACCGGCCGTTGGAGCTGGGGTGTGTTTGATTCCTCTGTGCACTTCGTCACTGACAAAGAAAGGAACAGCCCATTATATTTGAGTAGACAGAATATCAACCAGAGAGTCCCTCACTCTCAAAAAAAAAAAGGTGAAAGTGCTGCTGTCAGATTAAATCAAAATCGAGCTCTTCAGCATCAACCTGACCCACTGTGTTTGCAGCAAGAGAAATGCTGTATATGACCCACAGAACACTATGCCCACAGTCAAGCACAGAGGTGGAAACATTATGCTTTCTACTGTTTTTCCTGCTAAGAATACAGGACGACGTCACCGCACGGAGCGCCCAGCGGACAGGGCCATGTACCGTAAAATCTTGGATGAGAACACTGAAGATGGGTCGTGGATGAGTCTTCCAGCATGACCCAAAGTGACTTAAAGCGTACCATGGCAACAGTGGAGTGGCTAAAGATGGTCATAGGGTGGCCGAGCGAGTCTCCAGACCTCAGTTCTAAAGTAAATTGTGGAGCTAAAGCTTCCAGTTGCCAAACAGCAACCAAGAAATTTAAAGGATTTAGAATATTTCTGTAAAAAGGAGTCGGCCAAAAACCGTCCTCTGTGCAAACCTGGCAACCAACTACAAAAAATGTCTGACTGCTGTGCTTGTCAACGAGGATTTCTCCACCAAGTTTTGCTTGGGGATCAAATACTTATTTTATATAATGTACTTATTTTATATAATGTACTTTTTTTCTGGATTTTTGGTTGATATTCTGTCACTCTCTATGAAAATGAAACTACAACAAAAATTAGAGACTGTTTATTTATTTTAAGCAAGCAAACTTCAGCGGGGGATCAAACTGTTTAAATACTGTGAAAGCAAAAGTGTCAAAATTTCCCAGCTTCCCCAAAGATGCAGTCGGACACTCATACATTCTCTGGTTAATGTATTACTAAAATATTGGTGGTATAGCGCTTAACAGCAT